ACGCACCATCCCCCAGCGCAGGTGACTGGCAGACACTCGCCATCTCCCGCATGTCATCTCCCACGCTGGTGGCCAGCGGGCACATAACATCTCGTGCGCATGCGACCTGCGAGCACGCATCCTCTCTCGGCGGGCGCGCGTCATCTCGCATGTGGGCGACCGGAGGGCTTTTATCATCTCTCGGTGGGTGTGCATCATCTCTCGGAGTGCTCGTGTCATCTCGTGTGCAGGCAGCCAGTGGGCCAGCAGGCACGCACCATCCCCCACACAGGTAACTCGTAGGTGTGTGTGTCGTTTTTGGTGCATGCCATCTTCCGCGCGGGTGGCTGGTGGGCGCGAACCATCTCCCAAGTATCATCTCCCATACGGACGACTGGCGGGTGCGCGTCATCTCGTGCGTGGGCGACCTGTGGGCGCGTGTCATCTCGTGCACGGGCAGCTGGTGGGGGTGGGTGCGCACCATCCCTCTGCGTGGCTGGCTGGCGGTCACTTCATCTCTTGGCGTGTGAGCGCCATCTTTTGCGCAGGCAGCCAGCGGGTGCACACCATCCCCCAGCGCGGGGCGGCCAGCAGGCGTGCACCATCTCCCACATGGGCGATTGGCAGGCGCGTGCCATTCCCCATTGCGGGCGACTGGCGGGCAGCTGGTGGGCATGTGCCATCCCCCTGTGCAGGCGGCTGCCGGGTGTGTGCCATCTTCTGTGTGGGTGGCTGGTGGGTGCAAGCCACCCCCCGAGTGTTATCTCCCACATGGGTGGCTGGCAGGCACGTGCCATCCCATGTGCAGGAAGCCGGCGGGTGCGCACCATCCCCCAGGCAGGCGGCCGCTGGGCGAGTGCTATCTTCCATATGGGTGGCCAGTGAGCGCAAGCCATCTCCCATGCATCATCTCCCACACTGGCAGCTGGCGGTCGCGCTTCATCTCACGTGCGGGAGGCCAGTGTCTGCCCGCATCCTCTCCCGCCGCCATCTTGCCTCCAAGAATTCTCCTCGGAACAAGTACACTTTGCTGCAGTGTGGCGGCTCCACCGCACCAGTCCTGGGGAGGCCCAGTGCCCACCCTCCATCCTGGGTGACTGATTCCATAGGTTCCAGCTGTGGGAGCTTCATGGAGCTGCAGCTGCGGTGAGGCACAGTGCGGGCTCTGCAGGAGGGCGTTGGGAGCTATGCCACTCACCCATTCTTCCTTGGAAATCCTTGAATTCCTGTTGTTGAGCCTCAATCCTCGCTGAAGACCAGTCATTATCTGTTTAGCTGTTCAGTTATTAATAAACAGAAGTCCGTAGAGGGTTATAATGGCCCTTTTCCAAGTGGTCCGCTGCTCCTGCAGCTCACCACGCTGTCTCTGCCTCTGCTGCCATCTTGGACCTGATTTTTTTTTCTTAACAAAGAAATTCTTACTTGGGTTTCTCATTTAGGTATGGGGCACAGACTCTCTGGCTTCTTCACACTGAACAGGGTTGTTGAGGTGAAGGGGGAAGGAGAGCCCACGTTAACACCTTACTGGTGGTCCTTGGTTGAAGCTGTTTGCCTTCTTGTTCAAGTTAAAAATATTTTCCTGATGTTTTCTGCCCTCTGGACTACAAAGTGTTTGCCAAGGTGAGTCCAGCAGGGATGGCTGGCTGAACCCTGAGGCTCCATTCTCCTTTGCTTCTTTAGCTGGCATTTATATTTCCCTTTTGTCTCTGGAACTGGGCTCAGGGTTCAAGTCTGGAGCAAGACTCAGTGTTGAGGTTACCTGTAGGAAAGGGAGCAAACTAGACAGAACAAACCTGTGAGTTACAAGGAGAAAGGCTTTGGAGGTTTTACTTACAGATATACTGGGGAATGAGGTGGAAGAAAGTGACCTAGATAAAATTCTTCATGTAAAACTAGATGCCTCTCCCCAGTGACCTGACAGCTCTCCCCAGGGGCTGGGTGGCATACTCCCTGACCAGAATCCCCCCTCAAGACCCTGTCCCCCACTGAAGACCATGGCCATGGATAGCATCCCTGGTTCCTGCACCAACACCACCATTGCTCCCCTCCACTTCACCAAGTGTTCCAATTGCAACTCGAAGTAGGCATCACTACCCTCTCCCTCTACAAATGGAGAAGGGGCTTTGAGAGTGGTGAACAGACCCACTGTAGGTTGAAATAGTTCTTGGCAGCAGTAGTCAAGAAATCAAAAGATGTGGTACATTGAGGAGATCTGTCCAGGATCTGTTCTTGTTGTTGTTGTTAAATGTCATAGACATTTGTCAAGTCATAGACAACTCATAGCAACTCTATGAGTGAAAGACCTGAACACTTTTATAACTTCCATCATTTCTCTAAGTTCATAGAGTTTCTGGAGGCAAACTATTTTGAAAGAGGATGCCCCTCCTGCTTCCCGGCCTGTTTTAATCAGGGAGCTTCATCAAACACAGTCCATCATGGGTAACCATTATCACATTTGTCATATCAGTGTCAAAGTGTTTAGCATCACAGCAACCATGAGTTACCTCTGTGCGGCCAGTTGACAGAGCAGTGATAACACTATTTAGAAGAATGTTTTACACTCTGAAACCTACAGCGTCCCTTTTCAGCAGGAAGTAGCTAAGAGAATACGCCATCCCCTTTCCCTTATGAATCAGGGTGAAGTCTCTCTCAGAGAGGAGTGATAGGGAATGGCAAAGGACACACTGACAAAGGAGATTAATCAGAACTGGCTTCAACAAGCACTGTGGCAAATGGACAATTAAAACAAACATTCGGGGGGAGGGGGAGAAGAACGAACTGGGGAGGAGAGTAGAGAAAACAGTGCAACAATGAATGAATGAAAACCCAGAATCTCTGTAAATGTTCACTAAAACTAATAAAATTTAATAATAATTTTTTAAAAGAATGTTTTACTGAAAACAATTAAAACTAGGCCTGAGGGCTGCAGATTAAAATCACCAGCATGTGGTTTGGTAGCATAACTTTCTTTCCACTACACCCACAGAGCTCTCTATATGGCTCACAGCAATTTTATGAACAACAGATCTAGTCCTTGCACTATCCAACACCATCTCCACAATCCAACGCATGCTCACACCCATTGCTAAAGTCACAATATCCATCCTGTTGAGGATCTTCTTTTATTCTCTGACCTGTCCAAGGAAATCTTCTTCACCGACAGCAAGATGGTCTCATATCTGGTCCTTCATCTCCCGCTGTTCCATGGTGCCACCACCTCCCCCTACTGTCCCCACCTGTGCCAGGGGCCTGTGGCCGCTGGCATCTACCACCACTGGCATCCGCTGCCACTGGCCTTTCCATCCAGGTTAGGGGACCTGCGGGCTTCAGCCATGGCAGCCCCATGGGGTCGCAGCAGCTCGGGCTCAGTGGCAGGTAGCAGGCAGAAGTGGTACTCACCCGTGTGTTTTTCAGAATCTTTGTCCTCTTGATGTTGAACCTCAATCCATATTGAAGACCTAATAGTCAACTGTTTGGCTGTTTAGGTATATATAAACTGCGGTCTGTGGAAGGCCATGGTGCAGCTGACTGTGCCTCCAGCTCCTCACACTGTCTCTCCCACTGCCGCCATCTTGGTTCTGAGAATTTCTTTTAGAGTAAGTTTATTTTGAGGCCGTGTGGGGACTCCATCGTCCAAGCAGTGGGGCCTGGCACCCACTGCCCATCCCAAGTGAGGGGATTCCTGGGCTCCGACCACAGTGGCATGGGCTTGGCAGTGGGGGGCTGGCAGCCATGGGATTCACCCATTCTTTTTCAGGAATATTTGTCCTCTTCATGTTGACCTTGAATCCATACTGAAGACCAGTAATCACTGTTTAATTGTTCAGTTACAGATAAACGGGGCTGTGGAGGGCCATGGTGGCCTGTTGCTATGCAGCTTGTCGCACCTCCAGCTCCTTATGCTGCTTCCTCCACCACCGCCCTCTTGGTTCTCCCCCATCTTTTCTCTCTTGTTAATTGAAAGTCTTTATACCTTTACCACCAATGGTTAGTTTCCTTTTCTCAATTTTAAATCTGCACATATTTCTCAGTGTTTGAAAATAAAATTGTACGTATTCTTCGTGACAGTCCTTTTTCTTCCATTGTTGAAATCTTTAGAATATTTTTACTTAGTCTTTTATCTCTCCAAGTTTTAAATGGTCCATGAATAGTTTAATATTTTAATATGCACTTTCTGTTTCAAAGCCTGTGTGTGACAGGAGTTGAGAGTGCCTGGGGATTAATACTGGTCTTCTTTACTATGCTGCATGCTAATGTCTGAAGAAGATATCTTGGATAATCCCTCAGGTAGCACATGGTGCATTTGTCTTTATTTCTCCACTGTTACTTTTAAGTCCATTTTAGATGAGTATGCAGAAACTGGCTGGAGCACTTCATGCAAAATGTTTTTGGTTATGATTTTGGGTTTTTGGTATGTTACTTCTGTAATTTGTAGTACTAAAAAACTCAGACAATACCTATATCACATGTCAGAACACATTCCAGATGAGAGACTGCCTACTTAAGTTCTGTACATGTTTTGGCAGCCTTGAAATGCCTTCCTCAAGACTTTTCCTTTATATCCACTTTGCAGTTAATAAAATAATGTACCTGTTTCTCCCTTTTTATCCTTACTTTTAGGAACATCATAGCCAAATATGAAACCAATTTAAAGTATTTTAATAATCTCTTCTAGTTTGCCCTGTTTCTATTTTATTAAATATATTGTCTTGTCAGAATTTTTTAATGATGTATTAATTTCCAAAAACCATTAATCTATTTAGTTGGTGGGATCTCAGTGTGTGCTTACCTGGGATAGGGTGAGGGGAAGGAGAGATAATAATGACTGTCAATGTAAGATTATCTCATTTTTAAATGTCCAGGGACACCACAATACAATCAGTTGATTTCACGTGAAATCTTAAGTATGGTTTTAATAAGTTATGTGCTTTCACTCAGGATACTTTTGTATAAAGGAGCGAATACAGATTTATTTTAGATAAATCGAAGAGGAGATGTCTATTGTTGTTGCTTTGCTCTTTAGGGACTGGGCCTGTATGCTGCTAGAGACATTGAGAAGCACACCATGGTCATTGAGTATATTGGAACTATTATTCGAAATGAAGTAGCAAATAGAAAAGAGAAACTTTATGAGTCTCAGGTAAGTGTCTGGCACAGGTCATCCCATAAGTCTTTTTTTATTGTGATTTGAGTGAAAGTTAATAGAGCAAATTGGTTTTCCATTCAGCAGTTTGTGCACACTGTTTTGTAACACTCATCCCTGCATTGTAACACATTGTGCAAGTCTTGCCACACTCACCCTCTCTCTGTCTTGTGTTATCTGAAAAGCCTACATATTTGACAGGGCCGAATCTGCCTCTCTGTTTTTTGAACAAAAGCTCTTATCTGTATATTCTTGAATTTTTTCCCCCCCAGTTTTTCTTTCCATCTCTATTTCTTTCTATTTTTTTTCCTTTTATTTTTCTTTCCATCTCTATTTTTCCACTTGGTGCTATTATTTTCAGAGCTAGAACTATATCCTAGTCTTGGTGTGGGTACACTCATTTTAGACACATTACCTGGAAGATTGGTGTTGATTATATTCCCGTCTCCCCTTGAGAAACACTACAGTTTAGCCCATACTGTCCAGTGAACCTTCTTAAAACAGCCAGTGAGGATGTGGTTTAGTAGAATTCCTACAGCGAGCAAGTGTGAATGAGAGCATTTCACAACTTAGTCTGTACTTCTTAGCTGGATATAAGCATTAAAAGTAGCCCCTACCTATGCTAATGACTGAGTTTTAAAATGAGAAATAGAAAAAAGTACTTTTCTCTTGCAGAACCGCGGTGTGTACATGTTCCGCATGGATAATGACCATGTTATTGATGCCACACTTACAGGAGGGCCTGCAAGGTGAGGGTGGAACAGGAATCAAGCTTGAGGCTTGGCTTAATGGGCTCTGTGGTATTGGGGTGAGATCGGAGAAGAGGAGAAATGAACACTGTGGCCTTTCAGTGACTAGTGACTGATAGTTAGGGCAATTGTATACCTATGTTCATAACAGCATGTTCATAGCAACATTATTCACCATCATAAGAACATCGAAACAATCCAGATGTCTAACCACAATTGAGTGGATTGAGAAATTGTGGTACATCCACACAATGGAATACTACAGAGCAACTGTTTTGAAAATTGCTACATAACTTGGGAAGGACTGGAGAGCATTATGCTGCGTGAACTATATCAGTCCCTTAAGGACAAATACTATATAAGACCATTTTTGTAGAAATAGAACAATAACTATTATGTATATGAGGATCCAAGACGGGGGTAGGAGCAGAGGGGTGAGAATGGACAGAGGGGATACCATACAGTCACACAATTTGATGGATAGAGGAAGGTGGTGGTAAAGGGAAGGATCCCAAGGGGTTCTGCAAAGATGGGATAATGGTAGACATAGTTTAATATTAATTAATTTTATAAGATTTAATGAGTAGGAATGATTGTGTAAAACACAACAAAAATTTCTTTTTTAATATAAAAAATAAAGGACAAATGGTTTATAAAAATGGTTTTCACTTAAGATTGTTTATTTGCATTTATTCTGTTAATGGGCAAATAGAAACATAATTCGGAAATAGTTTTTCCAATTCATTGAAAGTTTTCAAAGCTTTTTCCAGCTGTTTTATAACAATTTTTCAACATGGTTACTTGCAGATATATCAACCATTCATGTGCACCCAATTGTGTGGCTGAAGTGGTGACTTTTGAGAGAGGACATAAAATTATCATCAGCTCCAACCGGAGAATACAGAAAGGAGAAGAGGTAAGAGTTTGAGGGATGTGTCTGCCAGGTTGTCCAGACCCTAGTATGTGGTAGTTCACTTCTTCCTACAGGGCACCTAGCTCAACTCTGTCTCAATTCTTTTCTGCTCCCTTAAGCTAGTCACATGTTGGCAGAATCCCTCTCTAAATATTGAACCATACTTGATCTAAGGTGAAAAATATAGTAAACTGTTGGTGTGATCTCCCGAAAACATTGATACTTGTTTAAGAGCATGTTAAGGTTGTTAGGCAGCAAATGTGGGTTACCAGGCTGCTCACAGTCAAACTATGATCAGTACAGTCTTTTAGAGTATTTTATGAGAAATTACAGTAATTTGAGGTTCAGTTTGATTTGTTTTATATAATGTTGCATGCTGGTCTTGATATTTGTCCTGTCAATGTCACAGGATAGCTTTGGTCATGCACTCCAGCTGTTAAGATTAAATGGTCTTAATTGTCCTTTACTGTGTGTCAGCTTTGTCTTCCATAAATCATGACTGTGGATCTGACTAGACAGAACCCTATTACAGGCTTCCAGTCTCATTTGAATGTGGTGAAAGAAAGGATGTGAGGTCCCTGTGCAGTAAGAGAGGGTGGGGTAGATTCACCTGGGCCTCTGCCCTGGCTGTACTGCGAAGCTCCTGTGCAAGCACTTAACCGCCCTGAGTCTTGGTTCACTTCTGTGGAGTGGGAGGAAGCCTGTTCTCACAAGCCTTCCTGAGAATTCAGCACATATTTAATCTGAGTCAGTATTAACTGTAAATACCAGTTTATTTCCCTTCTCTTGGAAATACTATATGAAGTATTAAAATTAAAAGCTATATAGAATAACACCACTATTATAAGATAGGGCTAACATGGGAGGTGGCTGGGAGATTAGGTAAAGAGTGGATTGATAATGAAGGCTGCATTGAAATTGAGAAGAATTGTCATAGGGATCTGCCATTATATGTATGACAACAGTCTAGAACAAGAGGTGCACTGCATGGTGGATTGGGAGAGGGGGAAGAGGAGAGGGAGGAAAATATACAACAATGAATGAAAACCCAGCCTTTCTATACAACTTTAAGATAACAATTTATTTCAAGCTATTTAGAGGTGGTCAGGGCCCCCTCACTTTACAGTGTCCAGTTTTTCTAGGTAGGTTCCAGGAGAAGCTGTCTTGGGTATGAGGGTTGAAACATGTAGCATAGAAATCATGTACACTGCCACTTAACTTGGCAACAGGGCTGGCTGGAGAAGTTAATTACTTGATAACCGTGGTAGAGAGAGCCTTTACATATTCTATTAAACTGTTGTTATGTACCGAGTTGGATCTGGCCCACAGCTGACCCAGCATGGCTGGAAGCAGTAGGTTTTCAGAAGCAGTAAGTTGCATGGAAGGAGATTGTCCATCTTTGTCCCATGGATTCCAGCTTCATGCCTTCAAGTTAGCAGCAGGAAAGTTGAAGAGGAAGTCAGTTGTTAGTCTCTAAAGGCAGTTTACCTCTCCCTGGACTCACATGCCCACTTGGCAAACAAGCGGAGAGTACAGTAGGTGTCCCTTCCACCTACAAGGCCAGCTGATTCTTCCAGCCACTGTGGATATGCTGGGAACACCTGGAGGTACGTGTGCATATCGTTTGACTTCAGGGCACCTCTTATCTTTTCTGTCACTTTGAAGATGCTGGGCGAGATGTAGCTTCTTCATTTTGAGATTTCCCCCAGAGTTCTCCTGTGATCTCAACACACCAGGTCCCCTTTGACCTAAAGTGTAGTTCATTTGCCAGTTATAAACTGGGGAGACCCCTCCCTATCCTTGCCAACCTTTCTTACACTGATTCTTTGCTGTGACAGCTCTGTTACGACTACAAGTTTGACTTTGAAGATGACCAGCACAAGATCCCATGTCACTGTGGAGCTGTGAACTGTCGGAAGTGGATGAACTGAGCGCATTTCTCATCTGAGCGCCAGCGGCTTGTCCCTAGGAAGAAGTGATTCAACACACTATTTGGATTTTGCAGACA